CCAATAGGCTCAGGATCATCTGAAAAGCTGAATTCTGAGTCCCTCTCTCAGCTGTTCTGATTTAATAGACGGAGCTGTGATGCAGACAGCTGTGTTTGTAATAAGCACCCCTGGTGGCCGTTCAGTGCCCTGCAGTGGGAGAAGCTCTGGTGCAGAGTGTATTTTTATTAGAAAAGAATCTGTGGCCATAATTTCAAGGCCCCCTGGATTTATACAGCAGGAGTAAAAAGAGTCAAGCAAAAGGAAATCTGTTTCAGTCCTTGAAATGGAAAGTCTCTCAATCTGTCACATTAAACTCTAAACTTTGAGTTATTGCAGAGAGACAAAGGAAGAGAAAGACCAAGACAGAGCGGTCTCTGTTAGCTAGCCCTCCCCAGCACCGGCCTTGCTAGAATCCCATGACATCAGACCTGGACCACTGCCGAATGCAGCAGTACCTACCAGGGTCAAAGGCAGATCCTGGACTGCAGAAGACCTGTCTGGAGGCAGAACAAAGCCGAAACGACACTCCAGGCCCTCCTGAGCGAATCCTCCCCCAGTGTCATTCAGGACGGACGGGTAATCAGTGCAGGATGCACTGTGCCGGAAGTCCCTCTGTACTTGCTGTCCATTGTAGACAGCATCTTTCATTTAACTGTTACCTAACTGCACAGAGGGTTTTCAAAAATTCGTGGAAAACATGCATTATGAAAAAACTGTGCCCGGATTTCAATTTCTTTGCACCAACGTAAACTTATCTCTCAATTCTTTTTCCCATGAACTTCAAAAATGTACTCACTTGAGAGAAAGAGAGAGAACACTGAAAGCAGGCTCCTCCCCACTGGTTCACTCCCCAAATGCCCACGATGGCTGCATGGGGGTTGGCTGAGACACAGCCAGGAGCTGGGATCTCAATGCAGGTCTTCCGCATGAGTGGCAGGGAGCCACCTACCATGAGCCATCACCTGCTCTCTCCTAGGGTGCACATTAGTAGGGAGCTGACATCGGCAGCAGATCGAGGGATGCAGCAATTCCCATATGGGACGTGCGTGTCCCACTCAGGGGCTTCACCACCAGGCCCAAACACTTTGCCCTCCACAAACATTTTTGAAGGCCCCATTATATATTCCCTCCCATTTTGTGGGCTTGACCAGTATCTCAAACCTAAGTAGAAAGAATACCTTCTGGAAAGTTGATAGAGACAGACTGGAATCACAGTCCTGTTGCCCAGAGCAGAGACATGGAACAACTCCTGACCTGGTGACCAAGCAGGGCCTTCCTGAGAACTAGCAGCAAAAATGTACCACACAATGTGGACAGCGTGCACGGCAGGGGAGGGAGTAAGCCCATGATCAACGTACAATAGTTCTTTAAGGGATTCTATTAAGGCCAGATACTCTGGAGGTCAGCATTGGGGTACAGCAGGTGAAGCTGCCGCTTGCAACACCTGACATCCCAGTTCGAATCTGGGCTGATCTGCTTCCAATCCAGCTTCCTGCTGTTGCACCTGAGAAGGCAGCAGACTACAGCTCAAGCGCTTGGTGCTCCTGAATACCCATGTGGATATCCAGATGGAGTTCCTGGCTCCAGGCTTCATCCTGGCCCAGCCCTGGCTGTTGTGGCCATTTGGGATTAGACCAGCAAATGGAAGATATTTTCTCTCTCTCTCTCTCTCTGCCTTTCACATAAATAAATCTTTTTTTAAAGATGAAATATTCTAAAGAATGCCATACATTTGCAATAGTTTGGGGGCATAATTTAGAGGAATTTCAAATGAGGAACCACGCTCTGATGGTTGCTTTAAGTACCATTTTTGGTTTACAAATTACATGGCATTTTGCAGACAACCTAAGAAACATGATCCAACTGTATTATGCTATTACCCCATGTTCTAACATTTCCATATGGTTAACATCAGTCACGTGGTTTCTTTAGAAACAATTACAACTCTTGCCAGACACACAAGAAGAAACCATGTGAGCATGCTTTCTGCCTGCTGGTGACATTTCATCCCCTCCTCATCCCTTCCATCTCTAACAAATCACTCAGCCCCCTGGAGCAGGAGCCCTCAAAGGCTGGGAAATGACAGCCCTTGTCTGAGATGCCCCTTCCGACCACAATCCAAATGGAGCCTTAAGACAAATAATGATGCAGAAAGAGATCTCTTTGATTTCTGTGGCACCAAAGGACAGTATAAGGAAAGGGAGCCATTAGGAAAAATAGTTGGTGAGGATGTTAAAACGCAGAACACCATTCGAGGCAAAGACATTGACAATGAACTGATAGGACATAGACCCCTTTGGGAGATTGTCGAGATCAGCCTAGGCTAGGTTTTGCTTCAATAACATCTACCCCAAACCTTGGTAGTGTAAGACCACAAGGTCCATTTCTCACTCCTGCTGTCAGCTGAGGTGGGAGGATGGCCCGCTCACTGCCAACGTTTTCACCCAGAGACTCTAGCTGTCAGAGAAGGAAGCATCTGGAAAGTTGTGGATCAAATGGCAGAGGGAAAGAGAATGTGCTAGTGTTGTCTCTCTCTCTCTCTCTCTCTCTCTCTCACACACACACACACACACAATATGTCTTCCTGAACCTTCGGTGTAGTTAAAGAACTTATGTGAAGTTACCACCTGTTGAGTGGCAGAAGAAAACTTCAATTCTTGGCCTGACCATAGCAGGTATCCTGACCTTGGTGGAATCCCCTCCTCTTGAGTGTAGACTGGACCTAGTAACTGGCCTATAATGAATAGCGAGTAGAAAAGGTGGCAGAATGTTGCTTCTTCTGGGATTGGGTTATAAGAGCGGGTGACTTCAGTCCCTCTAGAAGACCCTTTATGGGAGCTGGTGCTGCAGCCCCATGAGCTAAGCTGTGGCCTACAATGCTGGCATCCCATTTCAGAGCACCTTTTTGAGTCCCACAGCTCTGCTTCCAACCCAGCTCCATGCTAATGGGCCTGGAAAGGCAGCAGAAGATGGCCCAAGTGCTTGAACCCCTGCCACCCACATGGGAGACCCAGATGGAGTTCCCAGCTCCTGGCTTTGGTCTGGATCAGCCCTGGCCATTGTGGCCATTTGGGGAGTGAACCAGCACATGGAAGATATCTCTTCCCCCCTCCCCAAATATCACTCTGGTTTTCAAATAAATAAAGGAACCTCTTTACAAAAATTAAAAAGCTGACAGACTACATGGGCACTCTCCCTTTCTAATTTTCGTAAAACAAACGGCCATGTTGGGTAAATCCACATGGCAGGGAACTGAGGGCAACCTCTGTCCACAGCCCCAAAGAAACTAAATTCCATAAACAGTCACCTAAGTGAATTTGGAGGCTCAGCTGAGCTTTCCTATGAGCCCCAGTCCTGTTTAACACCTTGACTGTGACTTCAAGAGTGACTCTAAAGTACTTGACCCATTTAGGTGATGCCCAGATTTTCAGCACATGAAAACTGAAATGAGTGTGTAATACCTGAAACCACTAACTTTGTGGTTACTTGTTGTGCAGAAATAGATAATACATTGTCTCTTTCTGTGCCATGAGTTTGCTTCTTTTTTGCACTGTGTCCCATTCAAACCTTTTCTCCATCCTACGTTCCTTGTTTGTATTGGTGACCTTCACATTCAATCTGTTAAGCCATAAACCTGAGTCACCCTAGGTCCCACCCACTCCCTCTTTCATCACATACACACAGTCATGGAATCTTTAGCCCATGAGATCTTTTACATTCCAAAACTCCATTGGCTGGGCAGGTGTTGTGACACTGGCATCCCATATCAGAGTGGCAGTTCAAGTCCCAGCCGTTCTACTTCCTATCCAGCTCCGTGCCAATGTGCTTGGAAATGCAGCCGATGATGGCCTAAGCGCTTTGGCCCCTGTCACCCATGTGGGAGGCCTGGACGGAGGTCCTGGTTTCTGGGTTCAGCCTGGCCCAGATCTGGCTACTGTGGCCATTTGAGGAGTCAACCAAATCTCTCAACTAAATTTGAGAGTCAACCAGTCCCCCCACCCCACTGTCTGCCTCCCCTCCTGCCTCCCTCCATGACTTTCAAGTAGATAAAACAAATATTTTTAAAGACCTCTGTGTTAAAATAAATGAATAAAACAACAGCTGCTTTGGCTGTTCTCCAAGCCCACCGTTTAAGTCAGGCCTCAGTTGTCTCTCCCCGGTGCCATGGCCAGGGCTCCTGTCTCCCTGTGCCAGCCTTGCTCTAGTCTAGTCCATCCTCAAACTCATCACTGCCTCCAGCATTGCATCCAGTGAAGTCTGCTCTGTTGCATCTTAGGATGGCCCTGGGAGTTGATGAAATGTTTTCTGCAAACGTCCTATTACCTTCAGAACTTCCCTCCCATTCAGACCCCAGGTAGGTGTTCTTACAGCTGTTAAGGCCAAAATAATAAAGACAAGACAAAAACCATGGCTGTTTCATCCTAAGAATTTGGGTGAAAGAGCTGAAGTATTCAGGACATCGTTCCAGGCCACATTGTCGTTTTTGAAGCGTGTGTGACCCGTCAATCAATCTGCCCCACCTGCAGCAATCAAGGTTTTTGTGGGCTGGGCTACAGCAAAGGCGTGCAGAAGGCATGGCACTTGCTTGTCTGGGTCACTGGGAAGGACTTTTCCTTCCTGACTTAGATGCCCCCAGCCCAGTCCTAGAGAGAAAAACAAAAGAAACCCCAAGTAGACCAGAGAACAGCGTGAACGCTGCCCCGGCTAACACATGGTAAGCTCCCTGGCATCCAGCCTTGGGGGTGAAATGTGGAGCCCGACCCCGCTGAGCTGGGTACCCGAGCAGAAAGGTACCATCTGATTAGATGATTAATGGGTGGGCACAGTAACAGATGCCAGTGTCGACAGATGGGGATGAAGTCCCAGCCACTTTTCCTCTCCTGAGCTGCCAGTCAGACACAACCTAGTTAGGGGAGGTCCTCAAAGTGTGGAGATTTAGCATCCACTCCTAGACAAATGAGAGGTTTGGAAAATGGGTTTCGCTCTCTCAACAAGTCTCCTTTGAAAACTCATTTACCCTTTCCATTTATTTGCTGCTCTGGTCGCTCAATGCCATGAGCAGTTATAGGCATGGGATAAAATAATATTGAGCCATTGTAAATGGAGATGGAACAGTGTCATTTCTCCTACATGGTCTAGACATTGTGATTGTGGGAGAAAACAGCTCCCCATTCCCCACCGCACACACATGATTTGGAGGAAACTGTTAAGCTAGAAGCTTGGTGCTTTGGGCGTGGATGTGGTTCCTGAGAAGTGTGAGATGGTTTGAGACGATCCAAGCAATAGAATCATCCAGCAGACTGGCTGGCTCTTACTTTCTGCAGAGCTGTCCCCACCTGCTCCTCCTCTGGCCTGCAGGACTTAACCCCAGGATTCTACTCCACGGAATCTGAGAGGCCTGGCAAGGCTCACAGCCACAAAAAACATTCAAGGCCACACTCTCCTTGTCACTCCCGTTTGATGCAAGAGCTAAGGCAGCGAAGGGGACCCTCCGGTTTCCTTCCACTTCTTGTCACCTCTCATCCTAAACCCCTCCCTGGCTCACACTGTGACAAGCAAGCAGGGTCTTTCCTTGTAAACACCCCCAGCTCCTGGGCGGACAGTGGACTTCCATAAGAATCCAGAATGTGACAGAGCTGGAGTGCCATTTTCTGGATTGAAGGGAAAATTGGAATCTCAACCCTTGGAGATTTGTGACTGTTGATGTTTGGGTGTGTTACCTGTGCAGAGGCAAAGAACAGAATGGCTTATGGGCTGTTAGAAAGGAGGCAAAATAAAAGCAAGTCAAATAACTCTTCATTCAGAAGTTAATTGCCCCTAATCCCTCCATCCAATGCTGACAAAGCGTCCCTAGAGAAGGAAGGAGTGATGGCAACCTGATCCTTTACAACACAACCAACAAGCAAAGTCTCAGAGAGGCATTTGGGGCTTGATCTTTGGGTCTGGTCCTAACAAGTATTTAGAAATGCTTTTGCCATGAGAAATCTGGGCCCACAAAAGAAACCATGGAGAACAAAAACAAAATACAGGTTTGTTGTTGATGTGTGCCTGCATGTTGTCCCCACAAACTAAGGAAACCTAACTGGCCCGGCAGCCTGGGTGCAGGGTAACCCACTTTTGTTTCTGTTTCTTTCCCCGCATGGAACAAATTTGCTTTGCCCCCCTACCCTCTTGTCTGCTTTTAATCTGCATATCTTCCCCCACTGCAAGGTAAATTCAAACTTTCCACATTCTCATGGGCGGTTTTCACTCCTAGCCTCACTGTGTTGTCATCACTTTTAAGGGGAATGAAACAAGCCTTCCTCACTCTGTCCCCTGTGGTTTCCTACGGAAAGCCTGCATTGCAGTCAGCCAGCTCTACCTTCCAGAAAAGTGCTCTGGGGGAAGCAGGCTGGTTGTATTAAGTGTCCTGTGGCTGTCGTAACAAAATACCACAACGTGAGTGGCTTTAAAACAGAAATGTATAGTCACCAGAATTCCAAAGTCAAGACGTCGACAGTGTCATGGTCCCTCTGAAACCTGGCAGGGAGAATCTCCCCTTGGGTGTTCCAGCTCTGGTGGTGGCCAGTGGTCCTTGGCACGCCTCGGCTTGCAGCCACACCCTTTGACCTCTGCTTCTGTCATCCAGTAGGGTTCTCCTGGGAGTCTGTGACATTCTGCTCTCTGTATGTCTGTGTCCAAACTCCCCACTTCTTACAAGGACGGCTGCCCTGTTTGGTTAAGGTCCAGTGGAATGCCTCCATTTTCACTTGATTTTGTCTGCAAATAGCCTGTGTCCAAAGAAGTTCCCATTCACAGGCACCGAAGGTTAGAACTTCATCCTGCATTTTTGGGAGAATACAATTCAACCCACGACAGTCCCCATTCCTCGACTCTGAAGTCAACAGAAAATGAACTTGCAGGGCCTTCTAGGGAGGCTGGCTCAAAAGCAGGAGTCTGTGCAGGCCCGGGAGGAGGCGCCAGGTCCTCAGCAAGGAATTCTCAGAGTGGCTTAGAAGGGGAGGAGTCTAGGCTCTCGACGGCACGAGGAGGGACTGTGCGCAAGGCCAGCCCAGGTAGGGCTCTGCAAGGGCTCCCAGCATTTCCTGGGAGCTCCTCACAAATTCAGAATCCCAGGCCCCACCCCAGATCACCTGCAGCTGAGTGTGAGTGGGAAGTGGAGTGGCAAGGGTCTACCTGCTTTCCAGGTTCTCCATGGTCACTATGTGTGCCAAAATTTGATATTCACTGCTGTAAAGTAGGAGGGTCCATCTTGGCTCTCTGAGGACCTGAAGGTAGTTAATAACCCCAATACCATCCCTCACAGAAGATGTGCAGCCTGCACAGCCGCTCAAGTGCTGGGGACAGATGCCACTATCTAAGAGGCAACCCAGTTCATCAGAAGAAAGATCAGTAGAGGTGGAGCTGTGTTTACTTTGTTGAGCAAAAATTTGTCTCTCTGTAGCTTCCACCTCTGGGATAATATTTTTTAAAGATTTATTTATTTATTTATTTGAAAGGCAGTGTTTATGAGGGGGGAGAGAGAGAGAGAGCGCGCAAGAGAGAGAGAGAAAGAGAATATGAATCTTCCATCAGCTGGTTCACTCCCCCAAATAGCCCCAACAGCTGGAGCTGGGCCAATCAGAAGCCAGGAGTCAAGAACTTCTTCCAGGTCTTCCATGTGGGTGCAGGGGACCTAGGACCTGAGTCATCTTCTGCTGCTTTCTGAGGCACATTAGCAAGGAGCGGGATCAGAAATGGAACAGCCAGGACTCCAACTGGCACCTGTATGGGATGCTGGCACTGCAGGCAGAGGTTTAACCCTCTACACCACAGCACTGGTGTCTAATGTTATGTTTTGAAACTCCAAAAGAAATCTCTTTTCCAAGAGTTAGTGCTTTCAGATATCCCCAAACAGCTTCCATGTCCTTCAATTGCTTTCTCCCAAGTCTATCATCTCGAATATGTATTTTTGATGTAGGTGAGAGAGGAATGATGTAAGAAGTTTCATTCATTAGAACTGAGTAGGAGGCTGTTTGAGTGTGTCCTATCCAAATACATGTGTTGGCAGTTTAATTCCTCAGGATGGCAATGCTCGGACGTGTGGTCTATAAGGAGGTGTTTGGGCATGGGAGCATAGACCTTGAAAATGGATTGATGCCTTTCTCATGGGAATGGCTTGGCTGTCGTGGGAGGAGGGCTCCCTTTTCTGTCTTGCACATGTATGCACTTCCCTTCGGCTCTCTGCCATGAGTGGAAGCAGCAGGCAGCCCTCACCAGAAGCAGAATAAATGCTGACACCCTGCTATTGGACTTCTCGGCTTCCAGAACAAGGAGCCAAAATAAACCTGTTTTCTTTGTAAATTACCCAGTTGTGGGTATTCTGGTATAGCCCCGGAAAACAGACTAAGACAGGGGCATTGTTTACATTTGTCGTTGGTGAAGACATGGGACCTGAAACCTCAATAATGTTAAAGGAGAACTTGAGCATTTTCCTTTTTAAGTGTCTATCAAAAAGGACCATGGGTTAGAAATGATCTCAGTTAGGTGACAGTAGGGGCAGGATCTCATCTCTTTTTCCCTGATACCGGCTCACAGAGGAGAACTATCTAAGACTCCCTCTTTATAAATGTAGGCTAGTCGAAGGAAGAGTGTGAAAGATTGTGAAATAAGTAAAAGGCTACTGAATATCCTTCTCATGGGGCAATACAAGAATCATCACAATGTTGTGAGGCCCAGGAGTGAAGATACCAGTGGGACGCCTGCGCACCATGCTGGAGGGCCTGGATTTAGGTCCCACTCTGCTCGAGGTTCCACCCTCCTGCTAATGTGCACTGGAAGGCAGAAGGTGATGGCCCAGGTGCTGGGATTCTCGCCACCCAGGGGGGAGACCTGGGTTGAGTTTCCAGCTCCCATCTTCAAGCCCAGTGCATAACCAGTCATATAGATATTCATTCATATTCATTCATTCATTCATTCTCTCCCCCCCCCCAATAGATAAGGAAAAAATGTTCCATTGTCCTTTGGTACCTGTATGGGATGTTGGCACTGCAGGCAGAGGTTTAACCCTCTACACCACAGCACTGGTGTCTAATGTTATGTTTTGAAACTCCATGTTTTGAAAGTCCTTTGGCTCCTTGTTCTGGAAGCCGAGAAGTCCAATAGCAGGGTGTCAGCATTTATTCTGCTTCTGGTGAGGGCTGCCTGCTGCTTCCACTCATGGCAGAGAGCTGAAGGGAAGTGCATACCTGTGACTTTGACTTTGCTTACAGCTCTGCACAGATAGAAGTTCGCTTGTAGAAAACTGAGGAAGCTGCAAATGACTCTTGTGCCTAGACATGCAAGTTGTGTCCAGTAAATGCAACTAATTATCATCTCTGAATATTGCTCAGTCCTGCCAGTCTTCCAGCCACTCACAAATCCATTTCTCATTTGGCATCGCTCCACACATGTGTGATGATTGAGGTTCTCCTTTGGACTGATTGTAGCATCTTTCTACTTCCCTTGTTAATAAGTAAATAAAGTCTTTGACATGTGTTCATTTTCCTCTGGATGAGAGTCCCAGTTGGATCTGCTTCTTGAAAACTGTCCTTCAGTAAGTTTTCCCTATCACTCACCTGTCTGTCTGTCCATCTGTTGACCCCCACCTGCACCACCTTTGTGGTACCCACATGTTACAGCTTCCAAAGAACCTGAAATCCCCAAGCCTTTATCAGCTTGCACTCAGGAAACCAGGCTGCTGGGGCTCAAAGCCCTGCTGCTGCTGCTGCTGCTGCTGCTTCCGCTTCCTCTTCCTCCCCCCTCCCCCCGCTTCTTCTTCATCTTTTTCTTCTTCATCATCATCATCATCTTGATTGGCTTTATTCTTATATTCTACAACCGAACATTTCACTCCATAAATCAGAGTAAGTCCTCCAAGGATTTGAGCAGAAGAGATTACTTTTACAAGACAGAGAAAGGCTGAAAAACAGCAGAAACAAAAGCACAAAACAGATCAGCCGCTTGAGATTGCTCATGACTTGCTTTGTAAGGCAGAGCAACCGGCAAATAATTGGTTACCATCAGGTTACTCAGCTCCCCTTTGCTGTGTAAGGAGCAAGGCAGAGAAACATTATCATGCGGGCTGGGACCGGCCTGGCGGGGGAATTTGGGTGTTACTTCTCGAA